ATGTATGTATGTATGTATGTATGTATGTGTGTGTGTGTATGTAAGTATGTATGTATGTATGTATGTATGTATGTATGTATGTATGTATATATGTATGTGTGTGAGTGCGTGTATGTATATACAATAAGTATCTATATATGTATATATATACATACATATACAATATATGTGTATATGTATGTATGTAAATGTTTGTATGCATGGGTCAATATATATGCAATGTTTTCCCATTTGCACTTTCCATCTGTGCTGAGAAACGTATTGCACCATCTGTTTGGATATCACCTCGCACATAAAACGCAACAGATAAGAATAATATCAATTTTCACTTCCATTTTTATTCACTTTTTTATACGTATTCTTTTATGCAAAATATTGCGGATAATACATTTGCGTAGGTAATTGAGTTAACTAAATGGTGAAAAGAAGTAATTACTTCTACTCTTATGTAAATTTACTGAACACTAGGTATATTATAGAATTAAATGACTTAAATTGCGTTAGATTTACAAGGCGTGAAGAAATACCAAAATTAAGAAGAAAATAACTTGAATTTTCTTCCAAAAATGATTAAATAGTAAAATACAAACCAAAAACAAACAAGCAAGAATCTATAAGCCTTGCTGACCACAAAATAATTATAGTAGTGCTAATTACATATGAGAAAATATAGAATAATTTTTTTTTTTTTAATCAAGGAAAAAGGATCCCATTGCAAATCGCTGATCACAAAACACGTAGAAAAATATATAATAATAATGGTAACAATAATAACATCAATAATGTTTACGATAATACCAATAATAATGCTAACTAGATAAATGAATAAAGGTACAAAATTAAATAACATTGCAAAAAGAAAAGAAAAGAAAAAAGAAATCACAAAACACATAAAAAGAAAAAAAATAAATAATAGAAAAAAGAAAAAAAATGATAGATAGATTATAAAATAATAATAACAACATTAACAATAAAACAGATACTATTGCCAACACCGCCCCTACCTCTGTCTGAACTGAGAATGGGCGGCACTCTGGGCACCTGGGCGTGTAGCTGAGCTTAGGGCGTCCAGGAGGATGTCTAGAAGTGGGCGTGGTAAGGCTGGCTGTAGGGTGGGCGTGATGGACCGCCCTTCTCCGGGGTTGCTCGATGATCTTTTACCGTGGGCTGTGAGGAGAGGGGAGAAGGGTAGAACTGGTTATTAAAGGAGAGAGAGAGAAAGAGAGGTGATGATGATGATGATGATGAGAAATAGATAGGTAGAGATAGATAGATTGATTGATAGGTAGATAGATAGAGCGAGAGAGAGAGAGAGAGAGAGAGAGAGAGAGAGAGAGAGAGAGAGAAAGAGAGAGAGAGAGAGAGGGAGAGAAAGAGAGAGAGAGCGAGAGAAAGAGAGAGAGAGAGAGAGCGACTGGGATATAGAGAGATAGATAGATAGACAGTCGGGAATATAGGAAAATAAATATGATGATAGACAAACAGATAAGAAGACAGATTATAGATAAATAGATTGACAGGCAGTTAGACAGATAGATAGAAAAAGAAATAGACAGAGAGATTAAAAAAAAAAAAAATAGATTTTTTAGATAGGTATAGTATTCTTTTGTACCTCGCTTTAGATTTATGCTTACATATTGTTATCATTTTCTTCGAGTCGTAATAGATGTCAGTGCCAATATTAAGAAAAAAACAAATTCTCTTAGATTTTGAATTTATGTTGACTGGCTTTTATATTTCTCTCTCTCCCCCTCTCTCTTTCTGTCTATCCCTTCATTATTCCCTCTCTCTGTCTCTTTTTCTCTTAACCTTTCTTTCCTCTCTCTCTCTTTCTCTCTATCCCTCCCTCATTGTCCTTCTCTCTATAAAACCCCTTTTCTCTCTCTCTCATTCCCTCTCTTTCTCTTTATCTCTCCCTCCCTATCTTTCCCTCTATACCTCTCTCTCTCTCTCTCTCTCTCACTCCTTTACTCATTTACTCTTTCTCACGTATTTACTCATTCTTTCTGTCATCCCTTTTCAAACACTCATAAGAGAGACTTTCCACCCCCACCCCCTACCCACCCCCACCCCTGTCATAATAACTGTCACCCGTTGTCATTCTTTAAGCACGAACTACAAATAACACACCATAACAACCCAGTGTTATGATCACCTATCTGAATTATTAAAGAGGTTTGCCATTGTCCAAGGTCGGTAATTAACCCATTGACCGCTTTTTACCTACACAGGTAAGTGGTATTCATAGGCTAATGAGCCTTTTTCACCGTTTCAGTGACGTGGGTCGGTTAAGAAAGAACAGTGAGGGAATGTGGGGTAGTTTAAGGTCAGTGTGTGTGTTTGTTTGTGTTTTCGTTTGTGGGACTTTCTTTGTGTTTGTGTTTTTGTTTGTTTGTTTGTTTGTGTGGTTTTATTTGCTTGTTTGTGTGTGTGTGTTTTGTTTTGGTTATGTGTGTTCAGGTTTAAATGCGTGTTTTTTTTTGGCATGTACTTGTGTTGATGTGTTTGTATGTGTGTGTGTGTGTGTGTGTATGCATGTAAGCGTATTGTGTATGTGTGTGAGTGCATGTGCGTGTGTGTATGTGTGTGTGTGTCTGCCTGTGCGTGTATGTGTGTATGTGTGAGTGCATGTGCGTGTGTGTGCATGTAGGTGTGTATGTGGGCGCGTGTGTATTTGCATCAACGGATGTGTATGTGTCTATATACATGTATGTGCGTATCCATATCAAATTAAGTTGTATTTGACCTAAAACCGAATGATGAAAAAAATAAGGATAAAATTCTGCTATTCAAGAACTAGAAAATAAAATACGACATCAAGCTTCTCTGTAAAAAAAAAAAAAAAAAAAAAAAAAAAAAAAAAAAAAAAAAAAAAAAGGCCACTCTAATATTATATCTTTTTGAGAGCGTGGGAGAGGACATGCAAATTACGTACAGTATCTATACAGATATATCTTAGATTATGTTTAACTTCCGGAAAGAAAGGGTAAAAACGTTATTCATAAAAAATTGCACTTATTTCTTTACGGTTTACATGTCATCATACTGGCTGACTGTTGCTCGCTCTCTCTCTTTCTCGCTCTTTCTTTCTTTATTTATTTCTGTAATTCTCTCTCTCTCTCTCGCTCTCTTTCTCTTTCTTTCTTTATTTCTATAACTCTCTCTCTCTCTCTTTCTTTTTTTCTGTAACTCTCTCTCCCTCTCTCTCTCTCTCTCTCTCTCTCTCTCTCCCTCTCTCTCTCTCCCTCTCTCTCTCTCTCTCTCTCTCTCTCTCCTCTCTCTACCTCTCTCTCTTTCTCTCTCCCTTTCTCTCTGTAACTCTCTCTCTTTTCTATTATTATTTTTCTTCTTTTTCTTTTTCTCTTTTTGTATTCTTTTTCTTCTCCTAACTTTCTCTCTCTCTCTCTCTCTCTCTCTCTCTCTCTCTCACTCTCTCTCTCTCTCTCTCTCTTTCCCACCTCTTTCTGTATACTTACCTATCAATCTGTTCATCTATCTACCTGTTCATTTGTCTGTCTGTCTGTTTTGTTTTTTTCTTCACATGTATGCATGTTATGCTGTATGTATGCATGTATGTATGTATGTATGCATGTACGCATGTATGTATATATGTCTGTACGTATCTACCTATATCTTGACATATATATCCACACACACCAAACGGATGATGACCCAGCCGAAAATCCCTAGCAGAGGAGCCGAGAGAAGGATTTAGCCGAGAGGGAGAATTGAAAAGGATATTCATTCTGGTTTGAGCTCTGACGGAGGGAATCAAAGAAAACGGAAATCGGTATTTTCTTTTTGGAGGGGGGACTTCGAGCTTCGTGAATGATTTTGATTTGAGGGGATCTTTTTGTTGGTATTACTATGTTTTTTGTTGTTGGTGATGTTCGTGGTAGTGGTGGTTATTGTTATTAGTGTTGTTTTTTCTATCTTGATTATTATTTTCATTATTGTTATTATTGTTTTATCATTATTTTTAATATTATTATCATCGTTATGATTATTACTATTATTTTATTAATATCATTATTTTTATCATTATCATCATCATTATCATTATTACTATTACTTTATTGATATCATTATTCATGTTATTATTATTATTATTAGAATTATCATTATTATCATATATTATATATCATATATTGTTATTGTTATTCTTATTCTTATTATTACTATCATTATTAATATCATTACCATTATGATTATGATTATTGTTATTATAGTTATCGTCATTACTATCATTAATATTACCATTATTTATTATAATCATTATTATTATTACTACTATTATCATTATCATTACAATCATTATCATTATCATTGTTTTTATTATTGTTGTTATTATCATAATTACTATCATTATCATCATTATTACCATTATTATTATCATCTCACCATCATCATGATCAACATCATTGTCATCTGCAGTGTCATTATTATCCATACTATTAGTGACGTCATCATTAGGAATATCATTTTCATCAGCATTCTACATGATTGTTATGATACTTCCTGTTATAAATCAAGAGAAATGATCAGAATTGTAGTTATGTGTTAATATCAACTATCATTTATTATCATCTATCATTTATTCTTATTATCGCAATTATTCCGATTCGTGTTTCAGTTTTACATGTTATTACGATTACTATTACGGGAGCTATCAGTGATCTCATCAGTAATAATAATAGTAATAATAATGATAATAATGATAATGATAATAATAATAATAATAATAATAATAATAATAATAGTGGTAGTGATAAGGACATTATTGATAAAGGGCACGGTATTGGTAATAACAAAAACAACAACTATAACAAGGATAATAAGGATAAAACAATAACGATGATAAAAGTGTTAATGACAATAACAATGATATCAGCAAAACAACAAAAACAACAGTAGTAGAAGTAGTATAGATAATAACAACAATAGTAATAATAATATTCATAATGACAATAATAACAATAAGGATAGTGATAACAATAATTATACTAACACTAATGATCATACTATTACTAACAATATCAACAATAATAACAATGATAACAACATCAACAACTACAAGAATAACGGAAATAACAACATCAAGAAAAACAACAACTTCGCGAACGCCAACAACAGTAATGGAGGAATGACAACGCATAATAAAACGGACAAAGAAAAGACAAAGAAACATATCTCACCTCCAAGACAGGAATGACCGTAGTTAAGACATCCTCCTGAAATAAACAAGGTGTTCGGGTAAGTCTATTGAACAACAAACAAACAAACAAACAAACAAACAAACAAAAAGGAATCAAGTATGTTATTAAAGCAAACAAATAAAAACAATGAATCGAGTATGTTATTAAATGAAAGGCTTTAAATATTTTAAGGATATATTCTTTTATGAATGTATTTTAGAGGAAGATGAAATATTTGATTTTTTTTTAGATAAATGTAAAGAGAGAGAGATAAAGAGAGATAGATAGACAGATAGATAGAGAGATAGATAGATAGAGATAGATAGATAGATTGATAGAGAGAGAGAGAGAGAGAGAGAGAGAGAGAGAGAGAGAGAGAGAGAGAGAGAGAATATGGAAAGAAACAAAGTAATTCTAAAAAGTGAAAAATATTGAATTATCTTACTGATATTTCTAAAATGTATGTAACGCAATAGATTAAGAAGAAAGATAAAGTATCTCTTATAGGAAAAACGTACAAAGAGAGAGAGAGTAATATTAATAATGATGATTTAACTTTATTCCATTTGTTTCAGTGGTTTTTCATGTCTGTTCATAATTCCTTCTAAATTACCCCCTGCGTGCAAGGAATGGCCAGAGTTACCATTCATTTACAGTGCGGGATTCGAACGCGGGTCAGCAAGATTGCTAGACGAGAACGCTACCACTGTAGCACACACAGAGGAGAGAAAGAGAGCAAAGAGGATTAGAGTAATGATTATAAGATAAAGAGGAGATGAAGAGAAAGAAAAGAAAATAGAGAACAACCGCGAGATTCCCGAAGTGAATATCGATCCTCCAGCTTGATGTCTAAATTCCTGACCAAAGCAGATTGTTGCGCAACACTATCGGCAACAGTTGCGCAACAGATTCACTCCCATACCCATTTCCAGACACTATCTGCAACAGTTGCGCAACAGATCCACTCTCATGCCCATGTCCAGACCAAGATGGTTGCGGAATCATCTGAAAAGTCACGCAGCAGTTGAGCAACAATCCAGATTTGTTTCACAACTGTTGCTCAACAGTTGCGAGACACTCTTTTGCGTGTTTCTGTGTTTGCCGCTGACTACGCGATGCAAAATTGCGGGCAACACGACTCATCATCATCAATGGTAGACAATGGTAAGGAGAGAGGAAAAAAACTGACAGAAGAGGAAAAAAGATTGCATCATATCTATCATTCACAGAACTTATTGCTTACAGGAAAAAAGTGCCGCCAGGTCTTCATATTTTGTATTTTTGAAATAATTGGTACATCATGTCACGAAGTCATTGATTCTGAATCAATATGCTGTTTGTTTAGTCATCCGATATATAATACATTTATAATATCCTACATTTATATTCACGTATGTCCTCGAAGAATGTAGATATTAAATGATCGCAGGCTCCAGCTGTACCATAAAGTCGTTAATGGGATGTAAATATAATGACACAATGAACTTTAAAAGCATTAATTCTGCCATTTACCTCTTGACTTTACGTATATATATATATAACACGAAGATTCTGAAGACACTAAGCTCCTTGAATCAACATTAGTGCTTGGTAAACTGCTGATAGTTTTATCATTATTATTATTATCATCATCATTATTCTACGTTACTTAGTTATGAGAGTCACTGTGGCTTAATGATTTTTTTTTGTCTTTGTTTTTGTTTTCTCCCAAGATCGTTGCTTATTTCGTTTCTTTTTTGTAAATTGGTCTGGAAATACAACAGTGTGTGNAGGTGGACGAGGAAAAGAGAAAGGGGGAGGGAGATATGGGAAAGAGGAAAGGAAGAGTTGAGAGGATTGAGAGAGGGGAAAATGAGAGTATGTGTGCTTAAAAGAGTTAAAACCTTGTTTATTTTATGGGTATTGTTTAAACCTTTTCTTTCTTCTCCTTGTTCCCCTCTCTCCCTTCCCCCTCTCTCTTTATTCTCTCTTGTTATTCTCTTCTCTCTTTCTTTCTCTTTCATTCTCATTTTCATTAATCGACAATAAGGAATGAAATCGATAATAAACAATTCTTCAACATATAAATAAAATATTATCTTTAGACGAAATGAATCGTATTTGAATAAATATCTTTATATATATCTATATATATCTTTTTTCCCTCAAAACATATGATGGTATTTACTCTCTTTAAAGCTAAATTGTTGTTAGTTTTGACAATCGCTGGCACGTTGTGTATAGCATAGGGCCTAGGAGAAGCCTTTGGAATCAAATCAGTCTCCATCATGGACTGGACAGTGTTGTAAGGTCGATTTCATGGCGA